GTTCCTCTTCAAAGGGATCATAAATGCCTTTAACCAGACTCTTTGGCGTGACTGGGAACAAAGGAATCTACATTCTTCATTAAATGTGAAAAAAAGAGAAAAGATAAAGGAATCTATATCTAATGCTTTCTGTCTTATTGCAAAGAATGTCATCTAATCCATTTTTCTTACAGAAAAGAACTAAAAAGACCATAAAGGATCTACTAAGTTTTGCTTAGTTAACTATTCAANTATTGCAAAGAATGTCATCTAATCCATTTTTCTTACAGAAAAGAACTAAAAAGACCATAAAGGATCTACTAAGTTTTGCTTAGTTAACTATTCAAAAACTGTGTGGTGCTAATTGTTTTGATGAAATGTTTTTCTGAAGAAGATGTGTGTTTTATTCCATGATTTAATCCTTAGAAACTTTAGGACTTGAATCATTAATTAAAAGTGTGACACTGTTATTTTACTGAGGCAAGCAGATGTCTCTCCCTTTAATTAGATGCAAGATAATCAAACTAAAACCCTCCTTGTTTTGTTTTCAAAGTAAACCTCTACCTCCAACATTCGCTGAGATCTTTTCCTGTATAAGGTGTAACATTTTTATTGGCCAACTAAAACCTTGACTCCGGCCGTAACAGAGGTTTTAAAAGTTGGTGCAGCTACCGACAGAGAGTTGTTGAGAGTTTTTCAACATCAGAAGCCAGAAGCAGCTTTCCAGAAGCTCAGCAGAGGCCCTGCCTGCCAGCCCCTCCCCATGGGCTGGGCAGGATGGTGGCCCTTCTGCATCTCCCGCTGGTTTAACGAAAAGCCAACATTTAATATCGACTCAACACCTGAGTTTGATTTTATAGAAGTTAAATAAGCTAACTGTAACTCATGCGTCGTTTTTAAGTTTGTTTTTCTCTACAAAGTTGAAATCAAATTAATAAGTTTTGCAGCCGCATGGGGAGGACCAGACCCCGTTGTCACCAGCTCACCACCCACCTTTCTGACTGAAGGGCCAGCAGCTGAAAAGACACCCTGAGTGTCCGACCGGCCACTACACTGAAGCAGTTCTTTGGGGAACATCACCTGAGATCCTTCGGTCAGCCGACGACTACTTCTGGTACCGCAATCAGCAGAACAAAAGGGTAAAAGTGAACACTTGTCCTGGTGACAAACAGGTGCTCAGACGTAATTTGMTTCTTATCTTTGTATGAGATTTGATAAACTAAACAATTTTTCTCCCTATTTTAACTAGGACCCCCTCAGTTAAATCTTCAGCTAAAAGCAAAACTCACCTCACCTCACTCCAAACCTCAAACTCACCTCTGTGTTTATTTTATTTGTTTGTTTGTTTATTCACTTGTGATTGCAAACTCTGCCAGTTTTACCTGGTTCAACATATCACTCATTACTCACCATAGTTGTAAATACATTTAATCTGTAAATAAATGGCCGGTGGAGAACGTGCCAACATAAGCTAATGTCACTTTTGTGTCTTGATAAAGTATTAGTGGTTCTGATAAGACAAGGACTCATCAAACGATTTTGGGTACATTTATTGTGAGACTGATTACAATAAAGTTACAGGTTTTTGTCTCTTTCCTCGGTTAATTTTTGACCAAATTAAGAACGTGGTGCCTCGAGGTCAGATAATTTGCATTTTTAAATAATTCACAAATTATCCATTTTAGAATATACCCAGAACCCCTGCACTGGCCTGACCCAGCTGTCAGGTGTGGCAACTTGGATGGCACAGAGGAGGAGGAAGCTCGGCGTCATCGTCTTTCAGCTCATCTTTTTGCAGGACACCAGGCAGTCAATCCACTTTCAGCCCTCTGGTCTCTATTGACTAATCATCACCTACATCAGTTAATACACAGTCAAACAAACATGTCATAAYGGATGATTTTGGATAATAGTAACATTCACATGCTGCACCACAKTGAATGGTCTGATAACTTACTAAGTCACATGTTTGTGTCAAAATGGCAATTATTTTAAAAAGTGTCATTACAGAATGAATGACAGCTTGATTTGATTTATTTATTTATTCATTGTCAGCAAGCATTTGGTTTTTAATTCCCAGAGTATTATATGTCTGTATACTATATTGAAAATACCTTTCATAAATGCCTGTTAATACTTAAAAAAAACCTCTTTTCATTCAGCTGAGGTGCAGGTCGTTTAYAGGCTGAACATGTTCATTTTTGAAGAAGAGTGGGAGGTAATGCAGAGAACTTGCAGTCAGAAAACACTTGCAAMAGCAGGAAATTGGTTTTCATTTTGRACATTAGTATTCAGGTAATTTAATGACATAGTAAACACAGGCAATAGGAAAAACAAAACAATAGAACAATTTTCTAAGTTTTTTCTTATGAACAATTTTTGAAGCACTTTCATTGTTTTGTGAGCAGCCTTTATAAAGCAGTAAACATGAATACACCCAGCTCAAAGTCACGTGTGTGCACATYCCTCATCCAGACATCACAGGGGTGGTCCTGCAGAAGAGACTTATTGGTGGTCATCAATGTGAACGTCAATACCACGTCAAACCGAGAATAACCGCTCCCTGTGGACCTTCCAGCTTATGAGGAGACTCTTTGATCGCTAAGAACTGGATTCTAAATGCAGCACAGTGTGTCATATGTGTAAGAATATGAAATCATTGCTTAACACAGACCTGAGTCAAATATCTATGCTGCTGGTGGGTTTGAGAGAAAAAAACAGTTTAAGGTCAACTTTGCACCAGTGAAAACGCACACGAGGGCATTACCAATGTTACACTGACACAATGATTGCACGCTCAAAGTACAAAAAAGACATGGAGCAATTAACTGAACTAACGGATTGAGTAAAACATTTATTTATTTTTTACAAATCTGCAAAAAAGTCAATTAGGAAAAAAAACCTGATTGCTGCAATTTACACATAAAGGCATTTGAAACCATTGATCAATGACATTTTGGTTGTTATATTTCTTTATTTTTTACATATAAAATTGTTATTTAACAAGTATGACAAACATAGACAAATGATTTCTGTGTTTTCATTCATTATGAAAACAGGGTGTTTATGTTGGTATGAAGGGGGTGTCGGGTGTGTGGCAGTATTCCTTTTTAAACCGCATTAAGGACACAGTTTAGATGTGACGGTATGGCAAGCATTAACGCACATATTCTTTAAATGACACCTGTACAACAAGGTGATTTAACGTTTAAATTTTGCCCTTAAGAGTAGAAACATTGTGCTTGCATGTGGCTGCATGATAGAGTTTCTAATATCTTTTCAACCATTAACAAAATGATAGCAGATTAAAGACAATAAATCTTTCTAAAAAAAAAAAAAAAACCTCATCAGCATCCAGAACGCCCACTCAAGTGATTGTTCAATTYCATTCTCCTGACGTAGAGGCCAACCTGCATCCGGCTTTAAATGCCTCCAGGTTTGTTTTTTCTTTGTCAAAAAGAAGCATATTAAACATTCTCACTCACAAGGTGTGTCTGAGTGGCAGCAGGTAGAGTATTGACAACAGAGCTTTATATTATTATTATTATTATTATTATTATTATTATTATTATTATTATTATTATTATTATTATTATTATTATTTTTACCTGCAAGACTATTTTAAAAACCTTAAATGTGCACCCAACACAGGAAGTGGATCAATTATCAGGAGTCTCTTATTTTGTCCCTGGGCCAATTTTACTTGTTATCTTGTGCCAGGAAATTATATTCACCTTTTTCCACCTATCCAACGAGACAAGATTGGACTACTTTTGTTTAAATTTGTAAATGTGCAATTAATCATAAAAAAATCTTATACAAGCAAGTTTTTGAATCAGACATATCCATATAAAACTTGGTGCAAAAAGTAATGAAATTTGTGTTTGGTAGATTATTTCGATGTTGTAACAATACTTCTCGAAAAAAAAAAAAACTCAAATACCGCTGGAAAACCTGGCAATTTCCCTTTTAAGTGGTGCCACAAACATGCATTTGTGGGATGAGCTGTAAAGCTGAAAATGTGGGTTGTGTACATGTATAATTTGCCAAATCTTTTTTTTTCTGCTAAACAACTTATTTTGCTGTTGCTATTCACATTTACTTTGAAATTCTGGTACCCCCACATCCTGCCAAACACAAATGTCCTTGTTGTTCTAGGTATACATCCTTAGTGAAATATGTTGCTGTCATGGTCTAATTATTTATATCTGTTTCCCCTTGACACTGTCCATCACTCTTATCTTTCTGATACCTCCGGACGACTCCACAATGGACTGAACTCTAATATACTCTTTGGGTGTGAGTCTTGTGATAGGCTGGACAGTACATTTGGCAATCTGTGATTGGTTGTAAACTGTCACATGGTGTTGACATGATGTATATTATTGGCTGAATTCTGCTGACGCGTTCAGTCGCAAGCATGCAGAACTTCCTGATTCATTTCTGTTTGTTTGTTGCTCATAATTAAACCATATTTGATTATCATACACGCAGACCCTTCTGGTATTATTCCAACGTGTTTCTGCTTTTGCGACCACAGTTGCCATAGTCATTTTTAATATAATATCTTACATTCCAAGAATGAGGTTTTGTGCGTTTTCAAACCTATATAGACTCTAAAGTCAATCCTTTGAGCTGAAGTGACTAATTGTTTTTTTACACACACTGACACTCAAATAATGACTGTCTTGTTCCACCTGTTGATGAGATAGCTGTAACTGCATTTCCACCATTAATCAGGTTGCCACTGGTAATGGCCACAAATTAGTCTGATTGATATCTTTGCCACAGAGTCTTGCCCTTCAGGAAAGCGAAGTGAGACAGATGACGGTCAGGACAGATGGCAGAAATGCCATGAAATACATCAATATTACCTCAGACAGACTCTGCTCAGTCAGACCCGCTGTGAACTCCTAACTCACGTCACACATCTGGTGCTGAGGTTGGACAAAATGAAATGGAGGTTCTCAGCGTTTCATTTTACAGGTACTTATTTTATTTTGAAAACACAGTACATAATACACTATTTTAAAACTTTATTTAGAAAATATTTTACCTCTTTGCTTTTGTGTGATCACCATTCATGATCAGGATGTTCACTCTGACACACCAKCAACACATTTAATGGAAACACTGTTTGCTTTCAGCACAGATTCTTATCATGTTTGCAGCACTTTTATACATCGTTAATGGAGTCTTACACGAAGCTAACATGCATCTTCTAAGCTAACAGGGTGAATCTACTGTAAGCAAGCTGGAGCAATTTGAATGATCAGTTGTCATTTTTGGTTGTTTTTCAAATGAACAAAACCTGTTGCTGCATCTCAACGTGAATACAATCGGCATGTGTAGATGGAAGAAATATTTTGCCACTGTATATTTAGGGTATTTTAGTCAAAGTATGTATATGTATATTTGTAAATTAGTGGGAGGAAAAAGAATATTCAAATCTTCTTTTAACCCTTGCAGGGCAAGCAGTCTGTATATCTTTCAGTCCTCTTGTCTGGTCCTGAAAGAGTTAAAACCAAACATAAATCACAGATTAGATGGGAACTCACATAGGACATGCAAGAAATCTAACAACATTTTTAAGCAGAAAAACTACTCATCTAAGAAAACAAAACAATAAGTTTTTTTTWAATTTTTTTCCACACTTATTACTGTAGAAAAATGCAAGTATCACAGTCATCCCAGAAATAAACTAGAAACAGTATTTTTTAGATGCTCATATACAGTATATCTATGGGAAGAACAAAAAAAAAAAACTAAGAGTGTTGTTCATTAAGCTGTTGTCTTTATTTAAGGTCTAGTGCTGCATGTGTCTCATGTTAGCAAAATGAAAAAAAAAAAAATGCCCTCAAACTCTTGTCATGCATATTTTTGAAGCTAATTGCTTTCATCATTTTTTATATCTGGTTGGTAAAAAAGTGTAAAAAAATAAATAATATGAGATCCAAGAAGGTTAGCACTCTCTCCATTATTTCACCTAACATTTGCATCCCTCTCCTTGCTGACCACCTTCCACAGTTTTCTTCAGTCTTACCCTTTTACAGCAGTAGGCAGCCCTTCTTCTTGACCTTGGCTGGCTGGGGGCAGAGCACAGCCCTGATGGCTTCGTCAAACACAGTTTTCAGACCACGCTGAGTCAAAGCGGAACACTCCAGGTACTTTACTGCTTCTRCACCAACAGAGAAGCACATGCACATTTAGATAAGCTAAAATAAAATAAAAAAAAGTAAAGGTCACAATAAACATTTGCTTATCGTGTTTTAAAATCCTCCAAGAGTGAAGAATCTGTTTTGTTTGCTTCTGGTATATAGACTTTTACATTTTTTMATTTCTTTTTTTAAAGTTTTGTAAGTTTCTATGGCAGCTAAGGTCATCAGAGAGGGAGGTGACCTGAATAAAAGCCCTGAGAAGACACAGTGAGCGTGGCTGACCTATCTCCTTAGCCAAAGCGAGGCCCTGAGGATAAGTGATGGGTGCCAGCTTCTTCTCCTTCAGCTTCTCGATGGTGTCCTTCTCGTCCCTCAGATCCAGCTTGGTGCCCACCAGRATGATGGGCGTGGAGGGGCAGTGGTGGCGAACCTCCGGGTACCACTGAGGATGACAAAAATAACAGGAAGTGATGAGACACGAGAGAAGCCATCAAGTAGCGAAGCAATAATCATCTATTGGATAGTAAGTATTAAAGCACACATTCACTACATCTGTGTTTGTCTCCTTAACTGGAATTAAATAAAAATAATCTCCCCTTCACTGTTTTCGTAAWTTACTTGTTCACCCTCCATCAATGGTAAATTGTCATTTTTTCTTCCTCTTGTTCTTCTTACTGTGTCTTGTCTTCTCAGAGATTTGGTTCTGTCTCGGTAATTGTAGGATTTTGCGTGACAAATCCAACCTGCTTAAGTGACTTCCATGTAAGCCCTCTGACTGACATGAAGAGATGAAGGGATTACGCATCTAATCGGTTTCAACTTTTAATTGTTTTGTTCGCACAACAATTTAAAACCAATACCAAAATACAGATTTTGGGTCTCCTATTCAATTTTAGTTGTGAAACTGAAATCATATGCACTTTGGTGCAGTTACATGATTTTTTTGTTAGATTTTTTTCCATGAAAATTTTGAATTAACATTTTAATTCTAAGCAGATCCACTGAAACATCACAGCAGAACAGAAAACATGAGACGTGTAGCTTYTACAGAGAATAAACTTGTGAACAGGAGCAGATTAGGGACTGTTTTTTTTATCTCTTTTTGTTGGCTATTGATTTTTGTTGACTCGGTGAAATCTTGTTTAGCCTAGAAGGAGCTTGAGGAGTCGGTTGGGAATAGTCTGGTCTAATCCACAACATGGATTATTTGAACACATCTTCAGCAGGTTTTCATATTTGTCTCAAAACTGACTTTTCTTCTAAAACTGAAATAACCTATCAAATTGTGAAATATTTTACTGTCAGTAACTGAGATATTAAAACTCCAGATGGTTAATAAAACAACTCCTGCAGAAGGTTTATGTCATTYTGGATCTTTTTTACTTTCCTTGTGTTTCATTGTTCATTATTAAATCATTTTTTTTACCTGCATTTGTCTTTTTGCCATTTTCCTCAGCATAATTAGTTTTTTATCAGCTCAGTGCTCAGTGCACASTAGGTTGGTTAATGTATGCAGCAAAGGCTGCTGAGACTTATGAGTTGTCTTTGRCACAGAAAATAATCCCTTAAAGAAAACAACATGTGAGGATAGAAGAATTTGACAGAATCAGAAAGTGTTCCTCAATAAATCTGCCATAATCTGTAATTCAGCACAGTTAGCTTAAACAGCACTAAAAAGCCCTTTAAAGCCTCATAMATCATGCCAATCGCAAATAATCTGRGTAAAGACACAACCTCCGCTTCATTTTATGAGATTCACAGGTTTGCTCCCCACCTTCATCTGCTCTTTCACTTTAATCTACCTTTACGTCAGTTTCCTAAACAACGAACACAAAGAATKTATTTAGCTTCTCTTTAATGCAGTGATATGAAAAGATAAAGGGTGTGAAATGAATTCCTAATGTTATTCTTTCTGCTGGCAGTTGTTATGATGATGCATTTATATGAGGAGTAAGTCGATCAAATTCTATTTGAAAAATATTTTAGTTTTGATTATGTGTGGCACAGCTGACAGGTGACAGGAGATGAGGAGCGACAGAAATCTGGGACTCACCTTRGCTCTGACGTTCTCATAGGAGGCCGGGCTCACCAGGGAAAAACAGATCAGGAAAACATCCTGGAAGAAGAGAAATAAAAAAAAATCATTTCAACAACAGGTAATCAGAAGTGTATGGTACTTGAAAAGAATAGTAAAAGTAAAAGTACCTTGACAGAAAAAGACTTTGGTAAAAACTATTTTCACTGATAAGAAAAACATTTAAATAAAGGTCATAACACAGCTCACAATAATTGGGAAAGTAAAAATACTTTTACATAGACTCTAAGGAGCGAAGTGTTATATTTACTTAACAAAAATGACTCCAATAAACCAAATTGAGTAAACTGAGCAATTTACATATTTTATTTTAAAGAAAATATGTAAATTGCT